TAGTATAAAAATTATGAAGAAAATAGGTATATAAAGACCTTAACTGAATTTGATAAAAATTGTATTTTACTAACAAACAACACTCTACTAAATAGAGAAAAACTGGAAGTTTTCCCTCTAAAATCAAGAACAAGATGAAAATGCTCACTCTCACAACTCCTGTTTGACATATTATTAGAAAAATTAGGAAAATTAGGCATACAAAGAAATAAAAGGAATCCACATATGAAAGAAAGAATTCAAATAATCAGTATTTGCAAATTTCATGACACTAAACATAGAATTCCCAAAAACTTTTACCAAAACTTTTAAAATTAATAAACACTTCTAACAATATAGCAGAATAAAAAGCCAATAGAAAAAAATCAATATCATTCATGTGTACAAATAATGAACTCAATGAGAAAGAAATTAGGAAAATAATACCTTACACAATAGCATCAAGAACAATGAAATACCTAGAAATTAATCTGACCAAGGAAAATAAGGAACTCTACCATGAAAACTACAGGAATCTGGAAAAAAAGATTGCAGAGAACACAAAAATTGTAAAGATTTCCCCTGTTCCTGCATAGGCAAAACTAGTACTATCAAAATACTTCCAAAACATATATATATATATATATTCAATGCAATCCCAGTCAAAATACCAGCCACATTCCTCATAAAACTAGAGAACATAGTTGTAAAATTCATATGAACCCAGAAGAGATCAAGAGTAGCAAAAGCACTCCTGGGCAACAATTGTGAAAAAGGTAGATTATAATCTCTAACTTCAAGTTGTACTACAAAACAACAGAGATAAAATGGCATAGTATAAGTGCAAAACCAAACATGGAACAGAATAGTTATTTCAGAAATACCTCCAGATGCATTGATCTATTTGATTTTCAACCAAAGTGTGAAAAATCATACATTAGAGTAAGAAAATGGCTTTCTATTTGCAGATGACTGAAGTTGGGACATTGTATCTCAGCATGTATTAAATTAAATCAAAATGGATCAGATCTAAACAATAAAACAGAAACAATGAACTTATTGGAAAATAAAAAAGGTAAAACATTTGAAGTCATATGTGTAGGCACGTCTTTCTGAACAGTATCGCAGTTGCCCAAGGAATAGTATCATGAATCAATATGTAGTATTGTATTAAATTAAAAGGCTTTTGTACAGCAAAGGTTACAGCAGAGTAGAGAGGCAATTCAAAACATGTAAATTTTTTTCCACCTGTTCTTCAAACAGAAGACAACGTTGTAAAACATATAAAGAACTCGAATATAATTGACTCTTCAAAATAAGACTCCACCAAAAAATGGGCAAGTGAAATAAACAGATACTTCTCAGAAGTACAAATGATAAAGAAACACATGAAAAAATATTAAACAACTCTGACCAGTGGAGAAATGCAAATTAAAACTATACTATATAGGGCTGGGGATTTAGCTCAGTGGTTCCACTGCTGGCCTCACAAGTACAAGGACCTGGCTTCAACCCCAGTACCCAAAATAAAAACAAACAAACAAACAAAAAAGAAACATCCATGATTTAGCTGAGCATGCTGGCACACGCCTGTAATCCCAGCACCCAGGAGGCTGAGACAGGAGGATTGCTGTGAGTTCGAGACCAGCCTGGGCTACATAGTGAGTTCCAGGTCAGCCTCAACTACATAGTGAGACCCTGTCTCAGAAAAACAACAAAAAAATGTATGCTGAGAATTCATCTTACACCAGTGAGAGAATAGCAATTATAAAGATATCAAGTAATAAATGCTGGTGGGGCTGTAGTGAAGCAAAAGGAACCCTCCTACATTGTCAGTGGGAATGTAAACTAATACAATAATTATGGAAATCAGTGTGGAGATTTCTCAAAGAAGTTAAGTTACAAATTCCTTGTAGCACATCTATTCCTCTTCTACATATATTCCCAAAAGATCTAAAGATATCTTATTACAGCAATCCACACATACCATTGTTTATAGCAGCACATTTCATTTCAGATAACTTTTGAAAGCAGCCTGTATGCCCATTAACAAATGAATGAATAAAGAAACTGTGGTATCTATATGGAATGGAATACTACTTGGGTATAAAGAAATATAATTTGAAACATGTTTAGGAAAATTGCTATGTGTGGAAGGTACAATGTTAATTAAAATAAATCAGACATACAAAAAATACAGTATGGTAGCTCTCATTTAATTAAGGAAAAGTAGCAATAAAGAGCAAAAGAAGGGAGTGAAAGAAGGAAATAGGGAGATTGATATTTTACAAATGGAAATGGGTCCAGATGACCAAGAATGAAGGGAGGGGGGCAAGTTAGGAGGAAGTAAAGAGATTTACGATGTGTCACATACTCATATCAAATACCCACAGTGAATGTAAACAGTAAATGTTACACACTTGAACCAAAAATAATAACAACCATAATGAAAACAGGAATAGCAAGTCAGAGACAGAGGGACTGATGTGGGTAGGAAGAAGAGGAATAAAAACGAATCAAGATGTTCATCTAGCTACTTACTAAGATGAATGCAACTGCATGTAAAGAAAACTAAAACTAGTGAAAAAGACAAAATAAGTCTGAAAATTGAATTTTATTGTTTAGAAGTTTTATTTAAATCTAAATATAGTTTTATTGAATCTTATAATCATTAATATATAATTAAAACAGCACAAATATATTTTAAATTTTGTTTAAAATATCAAACAAATAGTAAAAATTCACTGAGAATACATTATTTGTTGAGACAAATGGGGATGCTTTTTTTTACTCGGTTCCAGGAAGAAAAATGAGTATTTATTATTGCTAAAGTGAAACAGAAGGTATCATCAGTTTATTGGATTCTATTTATCTATACAGACATGAACAGTGAAGAAATTGTTCACCTAAATGCATGTGAATAGAAGTTTTACTGTAGCAGTATCACCCCATTCTGTCACTGAAACCACAGCAAAGGTATTATTCATAATTACTAAATTTGGCCAATTTATTTTTTCCATGTTTCTGCCACATATAAATTAGACATCTATTATAGCATTTCACTCACTTTGTGTTGTATTTATCATTTACTTCTTCTAGTGCAGCATTATTTTATAGACGCATCATGGCTAACACACAGATCATACTTCTAAGTTTACATGGTATGTCAGGTGTCTAGATAAGAGGGAGGCAGCTCCCCTTTCTTGGCAGTTCTCACTGACATTTCTGGATATTATGAGAAAAACTATTTGAGATGTTCATCAATTATTTATATGCTGAATACTGGCAGCACATGCACCAAAGACAGAAGATCATAGATGGTAACCCTGGAGTTTAAAAAATATGGTGAAAAAGAGCCTGGAATTTGGAAATGAGAATAACCTATTCATAAATCATAAAAAAGATAAGTAAAGTATCTGTCGGTGTGCATTCATTAACGTCTAAGGATGAGAAAGAGCATACCATATTAGAGTAGTCAAAATAGAACTAATGTTTGTATGAGAGAGAGAGAGAGTGTATGTGTGATTTATTATAAGTAATTAACTTACATGATTATGGAGGCTCAAAACACCCTCACTGAAATAACCAAATTAATGGTTACATTAATATTTGGACATCTCATATCTCAGTCAAATTGATACATAAACCATCACACCTACGGAATGAAGAGGGGAAAGAAAGACATATAATTAATTTATAGAAAACTGAACATAAAAATGCATACCAGAACTTACAAAAGGAGCTAATTTCATCCTTTAATCTTATTTTAATTTCATTGCACATTGGCGCTGATGGATACTTAGAAATCTGTTCAGCCTTCCCATAATATATATGAAGAAATTGCAATGCAAAGTAAGAAAGGCACATTTTCAAAGTGACACAATTCATTAACATTAAGCCAGAAATAAAACCAAAACTAGCAAATTCAGTGTTATTCCTAATTATGCACTACTACAATTTCCATTTATCACATGTATGCAAGACATAACAGCTGGATAAATTTCAAACAAAATTTCAAAACAGCATTGTCAAATACATTCCTGTTACATAACAATGTGTTGTATAAACGTGTATGTGAGCAGAGAGTAGTGATTCTAATTTCAGATCTCAAAGTAATTTGGGCACAATATGGAACCATGTGGTGATTTTGTGTTAATTTAGTACATGACCGATTGTATCCTTTCATAAGGAATTCTGAAAAACAACATAGTCCTGTAATGTTGCCTATAAAAGTAAAAGGTGTGATAAGCAGGTATTTATGTAGGCATGGAGCCAGAAAGAATTATTCATTTTCAAGCTTTGGTCACTAAGAGAATGCATCTCTTCTAATCTAACGAATGGAGAAAAATATGTAAGATTAAAATACAGTTTTACATCCCATACTGGGGTTTGTACTTAGGGTGGGTTGTGTGTGTTTATATGGGTAACTGATGATTTCTTATATTTTTTAAAAATTATTCAGATTTGTAAATAAAGGTTTATACAGAGGGGTTAACATTTTCAGATGAACTTTGATATAACTACAAATCTACATGAGAGGAATGATAGGAAGATATTTTTCTTTAATAGACTACTTTCACATTTTCCGTAAGAATCCCCAAATAGATCATAATGAATTCTCTTGTCACAAATTCTCCTAGGACACTGTGGCACACTTTTACAAATGAATATATTAGAAAAGGATATGGCAGGGGAGGGTGAGGAAATCTAGAAGAAAATGAGTTTGAACACTTTGTTCTTACTCACTTGCCTGGGTTTAAAAGAAGGTGGTTTAGGTATTTGGAACACCAGCAATTGGAGTGTGTTGTGCTAGCTGCTTTCCTGTGCTAAACTGATTTACTTGTTCAGGGTCTGACCTTGTCATCCTGTCAGTACCGGTTCCCACCTACACGGTTAACTGCAGCTTTTTGCTTCAGCTAGAAATATTCAGTGTACACAGCAGTGGGGGAGGGGAGAAACAGGAAGAAAGATTGGTCTCTCCGTGTTTGTGCTTTTGTTATTTCTACAGAAGAGGCAAAGAAACGAGAGATAACAAAGGCTCCGTTTCCTTTCTGTTAGAAAAGGCTTTTGCCTTTCCTCCTCCTACTATGTCAGTATCTGGCAAGAAAGAGTTTGATGTGAAGCAGATTCTAAGGCTACACTGGAGGTGGTTTAGTCATCCCTCTCAAGGTTCCCTTAACAGTGGAAGCTGCCTTCAGCCGGAAGGATATGAGCAGAGAGGGACCTCAGTTCAGGGCAAGTTGAAGAACCACTCTCAGGACAGAAACAGACCAAAGAAAGGCAGCAGTTCGGTCCACCACAATATACTGGCACCAGTGACAAGACCGGGTCCTGTCCATCAAACAACGCTTCAGAAATGTCAAGAACAAAACTTGACAGAACATCTTGAAGCAAATGAAGATACTCCTAAAGCAGTGACAAGGGAGAATTTTTTCAAAGAAGCTCGTGAGAAACGCTCACAAAATTTGGAGATGATGGCAGATTACAATAAAGAGGATTCTAGTGCACGGTAGGAGTTTTCGATTATATAAATGAAAGCCAGAGTCTGATTTTACTTATTCTTTAAAGTGTTTATTTAATGCTAAATATAAATATAGCTTTAAATTTGTATGCGTTCAGGGTCTTCAAGAATTTCCCTCCAAGAGTAAAGTGTAATAGTACATATGTTTTTATAATTAATGATGATTTTTAGAGTTGTAAGTTTACTTCTACACCATCTCTGTACCATTCTGAATTATTTGAGTTCTAAGAGTTTTTAATCATTAATTTTCTTTAAATACCGTCTGCAGCTTAGATGTTCAAATCATTATAATTCTTTGTGTAAGTGTAATGAACAACATAGAATTTGAGACATTATGTGTTACGTTTAACTTGGCTAAAAATAAAATCTTTGCTTAGCATATCCTTATTTATTGCTTAATGCATGATACAAGATGGACTTTTGAAATTCTATTACTTTATATGCACATATGAAAATTCCTTTTGAATTTGAGATTCATGTTTTACTACTTTCACAGATTGTTTGAAATCTTGAAAATATTGTGCATGAAGTAAATAATAACTTGCAGCAGTAAGTTCTTAAAGTAAGAGATAGACTATGTCAACTATGGACATTAAAATAGAGTAAAACAAAATAATGGGTTTTAGATATTGTTTATAAAAATTTTATTTTAATTTTATGTATGAATGGAAGAAAATTCTGTCCTCTAATGCTGTAAAATATATTTTAATCTAGTGGTTCTTCTTTTTTCCTTTACATAACAAGAACTTTTGAAATTCTCCATGTTGTGTCAGCACAGCTGTTGATCTTTACAATGTAGTTAAATTTGGAAGTGGTATAGAAAAAAATATTTTTGATGAGTTTAAAACCATAAGAGTTCAACATGAAGTTGTAGTACGTTACTTGGAACTCTGGATATTTGGCATACTGAGTCTCTATAGAGAACTGAAAATTTGCCTCTTTATATGTTTCCCTGATACATTTGCCAAACACTGTCTTCTTTATATAAATTTTAGAAAGAATGTCCAAATAAAAAACAACATAATTTTATGGCAAAAGTCAGTTTTGCAATTTTGCATAATGACACTTTTATAGTCTCATTGAAACAAAGAAAGATACAGTAGATTTGAGAAATGATTTTAAGTACAACATTAGATGGAGTGATATCAACTTCAAAGAAATAAAGTGGGTATATGTGGATTTTCTTTTGTAGATTGTAATTATCCAAGGAAATGCTGTATAAACATTATTATTGCAAGTGGTGTTTATCACCATTAAAATAATTTTTCAAAGTAGTATAGAATCCATGCTTTTAGATTCAGCAGAATTTTGAAATTCTCTAGTTACTATTGACAACCTTTAAAAACAACTGATGAATTTGGGGCTGGGGATTTAGCTGAGTGGTGCTGTCAGCTGCATTGAAAGCACAAGATCTTGAGTTCAACCCCCGGTACAAAAATTTTAAAAAAGATGAATTTGGAAGTTAACATATACATTTTACTCCACTTTAGACAAATTAAAATTCCTGTTGTACTCTCCTAACAAATTCTTCAAAACTTCAAATGAATTGATTTTCCACCATGGAAATGTTTATAATGAAGTGTTAGAATAAAATTATGGATAATATGTCAAATATGATACATAATTGAGATATTTTTAAAAATTCTTTTAATTACATTCTTTATATTTTTCATGATATAAATAAATGTTCTATTAAATATTCTATGTTGTCAGTGGAACATTAATAGTTTCTTAATATACAACAAGAAGTAATTTTATAGGTGAGCAAGGTTATCCTTGACAGAGTGAGGAACTAAACTGAGGACCTAATTAATTTAAATATGAAGATTTATTACCCTAACATTACACATACAGTGTGGAGAAGCATCACATTATGGGAGATGTGCTCTAACAATGGGCAAAATCAGTATCTTTAAACCATTTCACTTTCTTTCAATATTATAGGGAATAGAGAATAGACTAAATTACAAACACACAGAGTAATAGGGAATGACCTAAAATCAATCCCTAAAAATACATTGAACTTACTATATTAAAAATATATCAATAAATTGGTTTGACAATGTAAAAATCCAAGTACATGATTTGGGAATTCAAAAATTCAAACATACCTAGATGGTTGGGTAGTATCTAATTATTTAGAAACTATTCTGAATCAAGATTAAACTGTGTGAGTATGGAGTATGCATATGCCAATATGCCTGGTATCAGAAATCTAATTTCAATTACCAATTTTGATTTTAGTTATCTACTAACTCTTCATCTAAAACAGTTACTCATAAATAAATGCATGAGAACACAGGTGATTGGGCCAGGGATTCAGCTCAGTGGTTTCGCTGCACGCCTTACAAGCTGAAGGGCCCAAGTTCGAAAAAAAAAAAAAAAA